CCTTTATGGTCCCCGCTATTTAAAAACAAAACAAAAAGTTTAGTTGAGTCTATGTTTGGGGCAAAGGTTCATGTCAATTTTAATTTTAGCCAAACCATTTTGCCCATCTCTATTGTATAACAGCACCACGTGGTCTGTACTAGAGAGTGTAATTGTGGTTCACTCCCACCAGTATCATGAACCCCTTAATCATCTGAGAAACTAAACCTTGTCCAGGGAATACTGGGGAAACTCAAAATGCCTTAACTTGGCTCAGATAAGGACAAAGCTGTTTACTTCACACATCTTGATAGTGTGTGTAACAAGCCAGGAAATACTTTTCAGCTATTTTAAACAAAACATGACAAATATACCAAACTGGCAAGGGTGCAACATTTTTTCTCAAAAATTCCTCAATGTCCAAATCAATGTTCACTAAGTTGGCTCTCTCCCAGTATGTCAATAATGTTTATTAATTACTTTGAATAGTTTCTGCTTTCTCCCACTAAGCAAATAAGTGCAGTAAACTGATCATTCTACCACAAAACATGTGACAATACTAATATATCAATATCACATGCTGAGTTGGTTGCTTTAACTCGTACTAAAGAAAATATGTTTTCTTTATATTTTTAATGCTGTAAAAACTTGGTAAAGGTGTCCATTTCATACAATTTCAGCTAGTGCTGGGATTGGCATATATTCAGAAAAAATACAGCTAATTCTTGGCTCTGGTTAGCAAATAATCTCTTGCAATAGTCTGACACTGAGGTCCAGCCATTCCAAACATGCAGAACTGGTATAGCAGATAATTTCCGAGGGGTGGGGGGAGGGGGGGAGTTTAGCTCTAGTAGAAAACTACAGGCTATATAACAGACGTGGGCAAACTATGGCCTGCGGGCCACATCTGGCTCGCGGGACCGTCCTGCCCAGCCCTTGAGCTCCCAGCTGGGGAGGCTAGGCCCCGGCCCCTTCCCTGCAGCACGCTGCCGTGCGGGCAGTTGCGCACTCCTGCCACACAGTGTGGCGGCGTGTCTGGGTCTGGCCAGGCGGTGTGGCTGCCAGACATGCTGCTCTGAGCAGCATGGTAAGGGGGCCGGGGGGGTTGGAAAGGGGCAGGGGGTCCTGGGTGGCAGTCAGGGGACAGGGAGCAGTTGGATGGGGCAGAGGTTCTGGGGGGCGGTCAGGAGACAGGGAGTTGGATAAGCATGGGAGTCTCGGGGGGGCCTGTCAGGGGACAGAGGTGTGGATACGGGTCAGGGGACAGGGAACAGTGGGGGTGGGATAGGCATGGGGTTCCAGGGGGCCTGTCAAGGGGCGGGGGTGTGGACAGGGGTCAGAGCAGTCAGGAGACTGGGAGCAGGGGGGGTTGGATGGGGGTGGGGTCCCGGGGCGGTTAGGGGCGGGGATCCTGGAAGGGGGCGGTTAGGGGACAAGGAGCAGGGGGGGCTGGATGGGTCGGGGAATTCTGAGGGGGGCAGTCAGGGAGCAGGAAGTGGGAGGGGTCGGATGGGGGTGGGGGCCAAGCTGTTTGGGGAGGCACAGCCTTCCCTACCCAGCCCACCATGCAATTTTGCAACCCCAATGTGGCCCTCAGGCCAAGAAGTTTGCCCACCCCTGCTGTATAATGATAATGAATTCAAGCTCTACGGGGGAAATGTCCATATGACTGAGGCTTACTTTGGGGCCTAGACTATTACATTTCACAGTCACCTAATTTTCACTTTACAGAACATACAAATGTGTATCTCTTTGCCTATTTTGTGGAAATAGCAACTTCAAAGTGGAAGATGGGGAACAATGTAAGATAGACGCTTTTGGTGAAATCCCAGCCCTGTTAAGACAATGGCAAAACTCCCGTTGACTTCAATAGGGCCAGGATTCACCTATAAAGCCTGATTTTTCATCCTAGCCTCAAACCAGACAGCCTTTTCCCACCTCTGTGCGTGCAACTGGTATCATTTTAGATGTCCATGCTACTGATTGTGCCCAGAAACTGAGCACTTACGCTGGATGACTGAATGACATCAGGAGTGTGTGGGTAGAGGAAAGAGAGCTTGTCCTTTAAAATCTAGTTGTTAGGACTCTAACTTCTGGCTGGGCTACTCTGTGGGTAAAGTCATGGACCTATCAAACCCTTCTTATAAACATAATGATTCATGCCTAAACCATGGTGTGGACTGGTACTAACACGGTAGAAAATGAGAAAACTAATCCTCTTGGAAGTTGAGCATTACCACCAGGCCTCTGTAGAATTATCTATTAATTCTTCCTACTGGCTATGGAGCTGTCCATTATAGTCACATTCTGTAGTACCCTCAATCACGTGATTAAAACTACTATTCCCAAGGTAATTTAAACACAAAAATGTAACATTCCCCTCAGACACAATTTTAGAAGAGATGACAGTACTGATGCTGAACAGAAGGCTACATGACTTCGGACAGACCCTGCCACTCTCTGAGGAGCATTAAAATGACATTCTGTGGCCAGCCAGTCTGAAATGGTTATTAGGAAATGACATGAGACAAGGCATTCCTAGCAGGGGATGGCAAAAGGGGTGTCAGCTAGTAGTTTTTAATGGCTTGGACCCTTGCTGAAGGGCATTTTTTAATATCAACATAAAAACAAGAGCAAATATATGTAGAAAACAGGCAGAAGGGGATGGGACAGGGACTTTGACTGTAGTAAGCAAGCGGAGAGTAAGATGAAATTGGATTTTCTATTCAAGCATTTAGATACCATGGCCGGGTCTATGCTCACATTTTCTTTCTAATTTCCCACAGCTGCACTAGCACCAGTACAGCTTCACCAGTTCAAAGGAAGATAAACTTGACACCTGGACATTAGAAAGGCCAACTTAACTGGATATTTCCGTCTAGGAGCAGCTTTTACACATCAATCCACAACATTCCATATTTTGGATGCCCCGTCATTTGTCATTCCCATGCCCATTGTCAAGGAGAGTTTCAATGTTCAAAGGCCAGTGCAAGTTGACCACTGTTTAGATGGAGCCAAGTAGCGTGTCAGTCACGGGGGGAAGGAATAGGCGAGCACTTGTAAGAGGAGCATTTTATGTGGAAGTGGGTAAAAGGAATGGATATTTCAGTCCTGGCACAGAGAAGACTTTTCTTTGGCATCACAGACTCCGTTCTGAGGCCTGTTAACTTACTCTAAAATCTCAAAGGTGCTGGCTGATTTAAGATTGTTTTATTCAAGTCTGGATTTGATGTTGGAAAACTCAAGGCAATTCTGCCTTTCCAGGATGTGTGTTTTAGGTTTCAGCCACCATGCTGTAAATTAGTAGGAAATGGAAAGAAATGGAGAAATATTTCAACAGAGGCTTCTCGCTCACTGATCACCATCCAACCACCCCAGAATGAGGTATCAAATTCTGCCAGATTTCCACTCAAAACCATAAATTTCTCCCCAAAATTAGAAACCCCACTGAAGTTCACTTGAAATCTTTCCAAATTCACATATTTTGCATTGCTCTCTCTCTCACCTAGCTGAAGAGACTCAAGGAAATTTAACAAGCTAAAATAATTAGCAAGTCTGTCTGCCTTATTGCAATAAAAGAAAATGTTCTTTCAGCAATTGTCCCAACTGATGGTTTGTCAGTACTGCAATATAATTGATAAATTACATTACCAGTGCTAGCTTTCCTACTTGGGAGCATTAGTGCAGAATACTGCAGAGTATTGTTATTTAATAAGAGCAGGCTTCTTTAAACTACAAATATAAACAACCTGTTTTCCGAGCATACTTCCCCTTTCCTTGAATAATCAGAACAAATCTGTCCACTTAAAACCAGCTCAGCACAAAAGTTTTCCAAAACATTGTCAAGAAGCCTAAAATGCTTTGAAACCACAAACAGCCCTTCTCCTCTCACAGACGGGACACAGCTGGGAATGGGCACAAACAGAACCGTTACATTCCTGAAGAGAGAGCTTGCAGTGATTTCACTTCACAAAAGCAAGTTATATTAGGAGTGAGATAATAACATGTTGTCCAACAGAGAGATATACTAGATGGCCTCTCCCGGCTAATGGCCTTTCATTCCCTTGGAAATCTGGCTGAAATTTAAGATACCATTGCTGCCTCCCATTTGAACGCCTCTTCTGGCTACTGGAAGGTACCCTAGGTGAAGGAATAAAAGACATACTGTAATTGAGTGTACAAGTGAAACCAAGCAGTTAAGCTGCAATCAATCATCTATGGAGCATGTAGTTGGTGTCTGTTTTGTATTTGCTCTCCTAGTTACAATTGTTGTCATAAAGGAAAACAAAAGTCGCACACTTGGTCCCATCCAATATACTAAAGCTAAACCTGATTTCCTCCTATTCCTTCTCATGAGGGGAGGTGTTGGATGTCAATATAATTGAAATCTTATTTTGCATCCTGAAATTACAAAAAGAGGAAGAATTCTACCAGAGTACGGGATGATCCCAGGGGTCTGGGATCAACTGGGACCAACTATACTGTTCCATGTGCAATCACATACCCCACTCCCAAAATATGCCCAGTCTCTCCTACACACGCCACACAGTACTACTCCAGACCATACACACCTCCCTCACAAACCCCCATCCAACCTCCCTAAACCCTATTATTCCTACCCCCCACCACACACCATCTACACTATTATTTATCTTGCAAGTCATCCTGAGATACAATCTGTGTGGAAGACCGTATTTTAAATACAGCTGGATTGTACAGAAGAAGAGGGGTAAGGGTTCTGAACAGCAGAAGAAGGGCAAACACCACAGACAGACACTTAAAAGCACCCACTACAACAGCTGATTCTTACTCTACAAATCACATGGAGATCCGATCTGTTCTGTAAAAATCTCTAAACATAACTCTGTTATAAAATTTAGCAAGGCCTAGCTTTATAACTTCAGAAGTTCTAAGGCTACAATGCAATTCTTTGTAACATACATGCAGCTGTAGGAGCCAAGGGAATTCATCAAAGCCCACAATGGCTGGCCCACGCCAGCAGGCTGTCATCCCATTCCTACCTTCACATGCCTTCCCGTCTCCCTTCAGCCTCAGCCCATCGGGGCACTTGCAGTAGAAGCTCCCAATCGTATTGCAGCACTGGGACTCACAACCACCGTTGCTGGCTTCGCATTCATTGACATCTGAAAGAGATGAGAAATTGGGGGGAAATGTGAGAGATTTTAGTGGAGAGCCAAACCAGAAGGATGATTAATGTAAGATAAAAGTGTGTATCTGTTCCAAACACATCTCTCTTTTTTATTTTTTAATTAGATATCTAGTGCTAATAATAAAAAAATAAAGGGTAAACTCCTGAGTGCATGCTAAGGGATACATTTTAAAGCTTAAAATGTTGCTACGAAATAGGTACTTTCCCCACCGAACATGCAGTACATGTGTTTGCATGCACAGAGATATTTACACTCACATATATCCTGTTTCCCCCAGTAATACCCATTTGTGCATGAAAAATTAAAGACTGGGATAATGGGTGCACCTTTGTATTTTGCAAAAGCAATTTATGACTTAAGGTTTGAAAATAGCCTCATACGTTATTTTTAAAAAGGATCAGATATTTGCATGGGTAAGAAGAGATGCAGGGTAAAAACCACAAGGATTCGCAATCCTCGTATTTCAGTTGGTCACCAGTTGAAAGAGCAAGAAACTTCCCATCATGTAATCAGATTTCACAGTTAGCTGCAATGTAGAAGGTTTAAGGCTTTCATTGCAACATTCAGAAATAGCACAAACACCAGACCTTATGGACCATCAGTCTTGTCCTATGAAACAGTTCTCCTGTTTATTGCCATATTAAGAGAGGATAAAGTGCTATTGTGATGTTGTAATTTATACTTGCAGCTATGACATAACCTAAACAATCGTGAATTCAAACCAGAGAGCACTGTTAATAACAGAAAATATCAAAACTATAAGAATTGCAATAATTCCTTAATACCAAAATCCCCTGTTCAAAGAGGTTTCAGTTTCCAGACCTGCCCAAAATGACTAATTTGCTGATACGCATAAAGAAAGGAAGCATTTATGTAGAACTAAGGAAGGATGAGATGTAGCAAAGTAACTGGTTAGCAGGAGTTGGCTACTTCTCAGCCGAACTTGTTAAACACCCACTATCCTCTTATGGAGAAAACTGAACAATATTTTGTATTTTCTGTATTTCTATTTCAACCCCCTTTCCACCCCACCTTTGTTTCTTATTATTCATCTGAGGTTGCAGTTTTCTTCTTGTGACATCATCATGCAGATGACTATGGCATCACAGATAAATCCCTAAGTAACAATGACCCTTTTTGCATACCAGTGTCCAATAGGGCAACAATGACTCTTGGAAGGTCTCAATTTTTTTATGCACCACCGTTTGATGCTCTGATGCAGAATCGGTGCTAGGCATAAGCAGACTAAGCCATTGCTTAGGGCCCTGAGCAGCTCAAGGGGGCCCGCTATTCACTTTTTATGTGCTGGGGGAGGCCAAATATTCCTGCTTGGGGCCCCAGTGGGCTAACACTGCCTCTGATCGGATGCCAACTTCTTCATGTGTATATTTCACCAGCACTTCACCAGTGATGCACTCCTTGTGACCAGCAGCTCTCTAGGCCTCCAACAGGCACTCCCAGCTCCTAAAGTTCTAGTTCAAATAGGAATTAATTCTGGGACATCCTATGGCCTGTATTATATGGGTGGGCTGGGGTGGGGCATAGCAGACCAGATGATCACAGTGGTCCCTTCTGGCCTTATGAGCTATGAATCTATGAAAGGCCCAGCAGAGTGAAAGGCACAGGGTAGCATGAAAGCTGAGTCTTCCACATGGAAGAGGAGATCACAGCAGGTAGTCACATGGCTGACCCCACTGGAGTCTTTGAATAGTCTAATGAGCCCATTCAAATGCTCATGCACAACACATCACGGATAATTATTAATGAGGAGACGTGAAGGAAGCAGGAGAAATCCATCGTCAAATGACGCATAGCAGGAACTTTCAAAAACACCACATGACAAAGAGTAAAAAATAGCAGAAATCTTTACTGACATGGGAAGCCCAAAGGATAAAATGAATCCATCTCTCACCAACTACTAGGAGTCCAGAGTTTAAAAAATAAAAAAGTAAAAGACTAATCATCCCAAATCAAACGGCTGGTTTCCAAGATAATTTTGCACGTTTTGCTCGCATTGTCAAAGAAAACAAGCAAAAAGCCCATCTCAGCCTCTCAGAATCTACCATTTCTGCTTTTATACTCGATACCAATTTTCAGACCTTTAATTTCAGATCAGTTCTGGATGCCATCAAGTTTCATGTGTAGCTTGTTTAATAAGCTTCAGCAGTGTGTGGTATCTCTTACATTGCATTCTGCTCAATTATTTCTTGCTGGCAACCTATAGGGAATAATTTTCACTGAATAGCTGGCAGCTGCTGGTCATTTCAGCAAATACTCCCACAGACAAGGGCGAGTGTCTTTCTGACACCAAATGTCATTACTTACCCAACATAGTTTAACTTGTGTGTCAGCTTTTAAAAGCAAACTCTTTAATCCTCTGTTGAAGAAAAGGCAGAACCATTATGATAAATTTGCACCCACAATTCCTGAATGATTACCAACTGAGAGAAGGGGAAAGCAGCATTCTTCTTTTTGGTTCTTCTGTTATCTAAAGACAAGATGACACTATTCTTTAACTGAACTGTGTGCTATAGGCCAATGGCACAGAAGAAACTCTGTGGACATAAAGTAATGCCCAGCTGTCAGAATCGGAAACAGATTTAAGAATCAGAGCCCCAAATCAGCTGAAGTTTACACATCCCTTTCCCTGAACTTTGAGGCACCATCCTCCCCATAATCCCTCTGGAAGCCATTATCTGGCTGCACATCCCATCCTCTTAAGTAAGTGCCAGAGTTGCTTTCTGTAGTGTAACATTTTCATGGCTCACTGAAATATGTGAAAGTTACTTTAATTACTTCAAACCAACAGACTATCTTCATGAGCTGCCAATGTTCCTAATGTACAACATATAAGACTGCTAGAGAACCTCATATTAAAAGCCATTTCATACTTAAATCTCTCTGCAACCTGCAGCCAACAACTAAGGGACCAGCAAAAATCAACTGCCTAGCAGAAGTGAGAATTTAAGTGAAAATCAAACAAACCATAATGGAAACCTTGAAGATAATTTAACATGGTTGCTTAGATAGAGGGTTACCAAACAGCAATGTGTTCCCTTGTACAGGTGTCACTGCATATATCCTGACCTTCCCATACTATGGGTGCACCCAGGAGTAATACCCCATACCAGTTCAGAGGCACCAAATTCTGCAGCAACCTCCAAAGAGGCTTGTGCAAATAGGCTGCAGGGGAGATTTTTAGGAGACTCCACATCGTGGCTAAAAGAAAACAAATATTCTACCATGGCAATACTGGGACATTTCATATTTTCAGCTACAGAATCCAAACCAAACCCAAATTTGGAGATGTTATGTTCCGATCAGACATCTGAAATGTGTGGGGAGGTTTTAAAGAGATTTATTGGTTCACTATGAAATTCTTGACATTTGGCACTTAACAAGACATTCAAAAAATGTATTTGGGTTCAAGCAGCTAGTTCTTTGCTTTGTAAAGAGAATGTGTTACTTAAACCTGTCAGAGAAAAAGGAGACCAGTATGGTTTTTAAGGCATTTGGTCTGGAAGTCAGAATCATGAGCTGCAAACTGTATACTGCACTCTGTACATTTCCTTCGGCTACTGTAGCTAACTCATTTTCCTTCGCACACCCAGAGCTGAGAGTGCATGCTCACCTGCCTGCAGAAGTGGGAATCCCATTTCTAAACACACTGCAGTTCACTTTGATTAATCTGACTCCAAGCTCATCTGTATCAAAAGCCAAAGTAAGGCATAGTTCTTTGACAAGTTACTGGATACAAGTTAAGGCCAGGACCATTATTGCTGGTAGATCAAACACTGCACCTTGGAAGGAAGTCACTCTGTTCTTGCTTTGTAATGTTCATTTAAGAGTAATGCACAGACAGCTGGATGTCCATTGTCAGCATATACCATTCAGACAATAAACGCTAATGAAATCTAAGCTGAGCTAATGATTATATATTATTTTAGACAAGTCACTTGCTCCAAAATAGATCCACCTGAAATCTCGCTAAAGTCAGCATGTGCCACAGGGAAAAGAAAAGAAGATTAACTGAACTCAGAACCAAGACTTCTCTGCAACCTTCCAGTCTGAGGAATGGAGATGACAGGTGTATTTGTCAATTTAAGGACTTAATCAATCAGCAACTTCTCTCATCTAGTGGCAAGACCCAACTTGGCACTGCTCACATTTCTACAACTGAGTCTTTTAACTTGCATCCTGCAAGTCTGTAGACAGAACCTGCAGCAGCCAAAAGCGAGCCTTCCTTTTGGACAAGCTGGTAGGACTTTACTGACTCTGTCTCTTCTAAAAGCTGTTCTTTGCAGATCTTAGAATCTTCATAAAAGGCCACAGTTTTTTTTTTCTAGGCAGACATCATGGTACTAGTATATAAGACACAAACTGAGATGCGTATAGTATCTTTACAGAGGTAACAGTGAGTAATGAAAAACATTCTTGGTAAAACAATTAGGTTTTCACTTCACCTCTGAACTTGTTTGTTTCACTTTTTTTTTTAAGCAAGGGTCACTGTGACAGGCAGGTGCTTCAGGTCATTTGCCTTGATGGTCACAGACTTGGGGTCCAGTGCGTTACCCAAGAGATGAAGAGTCCAGTAATTGGACTCTTTGACTGAAGAAGCCTGCCTCTGGCCATAAAGTCTTCAAGATTAGAGCCTCTCAGCTGATCTTAACTGCCACAACAGGATTCAGAGCAAGGTGTAAGGTGTAATATAAAGAACAGTTGCAAATTCTGGTAACTAGAATAAAATTCCTGCAATAAGAGTGGGAGTGCATGAGATGTGATGATATTCATCGTGCTGACATCCAGGATGATGCAGGTGTCTAAAAACTGATTCCTCGTCAAGAGAGGTACCAGATGCAAAAGAGTTGCCAACGAAGATTCCAAGGCCAAAATATTGGGAAGCTGAGGGCTTGCACTTAGAATCATAGAATCTCAGGGTTGGAAGGGAGCTCAGGAGGTCATCTAGTCCAACC